CAATAGGGTTGCCCCACTCACCCTTATCCTCAATAGGGTTGCCCCACTCACCCTTATCCTCAATAGGGTTGCCCCCACTCACCCTTATCCTCAATAGGGTTGCCCCCACTCACCCTTATCCTCAATAGGGTTGCCCCCACTCACCCTTATCCTCAATAGGGTTGCCCCCACTCACCCCTGTCTCTTATACACATCTAGATGTGTATAAGAGACAGCTCTAGATGTGTCAGGACTCACTGCGTCTATGGCGCACTCAGTGGCACACTCTAGATGTGTCAGGACTCACTGCGTCTATGGCGCACTCAGTGGCACACTCTAGATGTATCAGGACTCACAGCGTCTATGGCGCACTCAGTGGCACACTCTAGATGTATCAGGACTCACTGCGTCTATGGCGCACTCAGTGGCACAAAGATCCAGATGTGTCAGGACGTTAGGTTGTGCCAGGAAGTTGTGCAGGTTGTTGACGTCATCCTTCAAGGAGTTGCCGGCGAGGTTGAGGTAGCCCAGCGTCTGGGACATGAACTTGTTCACCGTCAGGCTGTGGCAGATCAGGTTCACGCCCTTGCTGGTCAGCCCGCAGTGGGACAGGTTCAGGTGCACCAGGCCCTTCGACTGCCGCCCGATGGGGTTGCTGATGTGCGACGCACCTGTCAAACAGATGCCATGTATAGTTGTGGTCCGATATACATGTGTAAAATGCACGCTGTGGTCAAGTATACATGTGTAAAATGCACGCTGTGGTCAAGTATACATGTGTAAAATGCACGCTGTGGTCAAGTATACATGTGTAAAATGCACGCTGTGGTCAAGTATACATGTGTAAAATGCACGCTGTGGTCAAGTATACATGTGTAAAATGCACGCTGTGGTCAAGTATACATGTGTAAAATGCACGCTGTGGTCAAGTATACATGTGTAAAATGCACGCTGTGGTCAAGTATACATGTGTAAAATGCACGCTGTGGTCAAGTATACATGTGTAAAATGCACGCTGTGGTCAAGTATACATGTGTAAAATGCACGCTGTGGTCAAGTATACATGTGTAAAATGCACGCTGTGGTCAAGTATACATGTGTAAAATGCACGCTGTGGTCAAGTATACATGTGTAAAATGCACGCTGTGGTCAAGTATACATGTGTAAAATGCACGCTGTGGTCAAGTATACATGTGTAAAATGCACGCTGTGGTCAAGTATACATGTGTAAAATGCACGCTGTGGTCAAGTATACATGTGTAAAATGCACGCTGTGGTCAAGTATACATGTGTAAAATGCACGCTGTGGTCAAGTATACATGTGTAAAATGCACGCTGTGGTCAAGTATACATGTGTAAAATGCACGCTGTGGTCAAGTATACATGTGTAAAATGCACGCTGTGGTCAAGTATACATGTGTAAAATGCACGCTGTGGTCAAGTATACATGTGTAAAATGCACGCTGTGGTCAAGTATACATGTGTAAAATGCACGCTGTGGTCAAGTATACATGTGTAAAATGCACGCTGTGGTCAAGTATACATGTGTAAAATGCACGCTGTGGTCAAGTATACATGTGTAAAATGCACGCTGTGGTCAAGTATACATGTGTAAAATGCACGCTGTGGTCAAGTATACATGTGTAAAATGCACGCTGTGGTCAANCTTATCCTCAATAGGGTTGCCCCATTCACCCTTATCCTCAATAGGGTTGCCCCACTCACCCTTATCCTCAATAGGGTTGCCCCACTCACCCTTATCCTCAATAGGGTTGTTCGAGAGGTCCAGTTTCTGCAGGGGCAGGGAGCTGTTCGACAGCAGCGACAGCGACAGCTTGTGTGCGAACTCTCTGCATTAAGAACATTACAATGAAAAACAAGAAAGAAATTACAACAAAGAACATTACAATGGCTATTGTGCTACTGTACCCAGCATGTACATTGTGCCCGGCGTGTGGGGACAATAATATTACAATGGCTACTGTGCTGCTGTACCCAGCGTGTACATTGTGCCCAGCATATCAAACAGCAACTACCTATAGTATATTGCACCAAAATTTTAATTGAACCCTACATGTCATGTTATCTACCGACACCATTACCAGGCAGCAGTAGAGCAGCTCTACTCACGTCTACTCACGGCTTGGCAGAGATGTTGTCCAGGTAGAGCTCCTCTACTCACGGCTTGGCAGAGATGTTGTCCAGGTAGAGCAGCTCTACTCACGGCTTGGCAGAGATGTTGTCCAGGTAGAGCTGCTCTACTCACGGCTTGGCAGAGATGTTGTC